TGAGTATTGCTGTTTGGAGCTGTTGTGCTGGCTCTGGGACCATCTCGTCCTCTCTGCACATTAGCTTCACAGCAGCAACTGTAATGACAGTATGCTAACCCACAACTAGCTAACATTTTGTTACATTACTTGATGTGTTGTTGTTTGCTCTATATTATGGTATTTGACATGTTAGATTTCTCTAGAATCACTTACTCCACTTTTAAATAGTAACAATCAAATCAAATGTTACTATAAAAAGGTCGCCGTGGTAGCAATCTGTCAATCAGAAAGTAGCTAAAGCATATCCTGCTTTATTGTATTTTTTACTCTAAATGGGACCATAATTTACTAAATGAACATCATGCTGGATTGAAGAAGACTTAAAACTAGCAATTGAGATCATAAACTTATTAGTAAAGTGTTTACAGAGGTAATAAATCAAGGGTCAATTTTGTGATAGACTTTAATGAAATTGGACTTCTTTTTGCAACCAGTGTAGTCATCCACTGCTGGTCATTAGAAAGGCTACACACTTGTGTGTTGGTGTCTGCGTCGTTCTGCAATTACACCTCCAAAATGCTAGTTGGCGGTAGCGCTATAGCGTCCACTGTGTTGTGGTTTGCCGGCCGACCAATGACAGTTGGTCCACCGCGACGTGTAGTTACATTTTCCACACACGTGCAATAGATCGGTTGGTGCCTTGGTAGCGTAGTGAGCATAGTGTGACCACGCGGACTTGTCACAAAAAATGGGAGGCATGCGGTTGTCCGCACAGAGCCTACACCTCTTATTACATTTTTTTTGTCACATGGCCCCTAGCAGTCCCTTGCGTATTCGCTGAGCATAACACTTGTTTACGCCGTAGGCTACGGCGTAGGGTACAGGGCTACGCATAGATTCGACACAGAAGTATAAATCTAGCTTAAGTGTGATTCAACCATGTCAAAGGTGCGGCTTTCTCCTGGTATGGTGGGACAACTTTGAGTGCTACCGCTGTACAGAATTTGACCGGCCTTATTTAGTTTTTATGTTAATGTTCCAGTTCTGACAAAACAAACTATTAGATGAAAAAGGTGGATAAGTTTCACTTGACTAATAAACCTTACACTGGATCTTCACCCAGACTTTAAAAATATGAAGACTCCTTTGTAGTTGTGTATTTTTCTGAAACCCCAGCTGAAACTTGTGAAACTCTACTAGAGCTCCAGTGCCATACCCATCACTGATCACTTAATAATCAATTATTAACATTAATTGTAGTATTACCAGTCAGACAGAGCTCAAACTGTCAATAAACTCACTCATAGCCGCTGTGTTTAACTGTGTCTTACTCTTCTTGTGGCAAATGTCTTGCTCTGTTGCCATGTTTAATTGGCAGATCTGTCAGCTTTGCATAAATCTTTGTAAATTACATTGCCCTTATCTCATCCCAGAGATGGGCTCTGGGGTCGCTTGATTCCATCCAATGGCTCAGCCAGTGGGGCATGCCGGGGAAATGACTCGTAATTGGAGGCAGCTAAGGGTCGTCACCCCCTGACACACACTCAATAAACAACCCTGAGCTTTATACTGCCAAGCGTTCCTCCTTTTTTTTTTCAGATTTCTCTGTGCCGCATTTTTTTACCACACACATACACATTCATGCATTCTTCTCCCGACTCTGCTATCTCGTTTTCTGATTGTTTAAAGTGTCTATTCTTAACTCCCAATTCTCTGTAAATGCTGTTGCTGATGGTCTGTTGCTGTGTTCAATCAATGCAAAGGGCTTCAAGATTATGTCTGCAGATGAGGTGTGTGTGTGTCTGTGTGCATCAGCGCATGTTATTACAGTCCAAAGCTGACACTGTTATAGTGAACCAGCACCTGCAATGGATGCCTACAGTCACGTCAGACCACATTTCTCCAATTACCATAACTATTTTCATAGACTTACAACATGGACTTAGGTGCAACAGTGGTGTAAAGTACAATATCACAACTTTAATACCTGCCTAATTGGCCACATCTGCGCATCTGTATGTATAATAAGATTGTTGCTAAAGTGATTTGCAGATATAATAAACCCATTCAATGATACAGATGCTGTGACAGACATCTGTGTTCAACAGATTCCTTGAAGAGGTGGTATTATGCTCATTTTCAGGTTCAAAATCTTATTTAGGGGTTGTACCAGAACAGCTTGACATGGTTTAATTTTCAGAAAACACCATATTTTTCTCATACTGCACATTGCTGCAGCTCCTCTTTTCACCCTATGTGTTGTACACTCTGCTCTTGAGCTACAGAGTGATGCATCTTGCTTGTACAAAATCTTTGTTGGGAGTTGCACATGCGCAGTTCCCAGGTAAGGACTACTAGCCAATCAGAAGCAGAGAAGGGCCTTTGTAAGAAACAAGGTAGTGTGATCCAAATCAAAGCTGCTTCAGACTGCAACCGTAACCTTGTTTTCATTTCATTTAACTGATGCTTTTATCCAAAGTAACTTACAATTGCTATACATGTCAGAGGTCGCACGCCTCTGGAGTAACTAGGGGTTAAGTGTCTCATTACATTTTAGTATCCCTCAGCTTGCTTGGAACCTCGATGGAGGTGAGTTGATACAAAAAATGCAGGTACAGGTACAACATTTCTACAATGGAAAACCAAACAAAGGCGAGTCGAGCCAAAGGGCCTCCACTCAGACTAGCTTGGTTTGAGGGCGTGCCTGACCCCCTAGCCGCTTGGCAAGCTTTATGACGTGTTTTCATTGTGATGTCACAAGTAAAGGAAGTGAAGGGCTGGACTACAAACAAGCTGTTTTCAAGCAGTTCAGAGCAGTGCTTTCTGCGGGAGATGGGAACTCCCTTTGGGCTGGACTTTGGGCTTTTTCACTTTGCAAACCTGTTACATGCACAAAAAAGTGATATAACTCAATAAAGGAGAAGGGAAAAGCCAAAAAGCATAATACCACCTCTTTAAGAGTAAGAAAGTTTAATGCAGTGGATCCACAAACTTCAACCAGACAAAAAATATCTATTTGACTAAATCTGATACATTTCTATTTCTATTGGAGATAATGAAAGTATATTCTCTCTGTTACATAAATACCATACATTATATTATAGGCTGCTATAGACTGCTATGTGGGAACATCAAAACTGCTTCCATATGGCTTTATTAACAATTAAGGACTTTGGAGATATTCCTAATGTTCCTGGAAAGTTTGGTAACATTTCAAGAGTGCTTATCTGTGAGCAGGGAGTAATGTTTGTATGTATGTACTGTATGTGAGCATGTAGTGGAGATATCCTCTTAACACATGAGCACTTAAAGGTGCCATAGAATGCTCAATTTCAGCGTTATACTTGTATTTAGGGTTTCTATTAGACAATGTTTCCATGCTTTAATGTTCAAAAAACAAATTATTTTTGTCATACTATCCACTGCTGTAGCACCTTTTTTCACCCTCTGTCTGAACAATCACTGAACATTCGCAGCAGAGGTGTAGGACCTAGCCATAGACAGTATATTACTGGATGAAGCCACCCCACTGATTTGAATGGAGAGCAGTGAAGCCAGTTTTGGACCAATAAAATACTACTACAGGGTTACTTCCTGTTGGCACCAGTGTCTACTGTGCATGATCGCGCAGCATACGGCATACGGCAGAAACACTGTAATTCTGGTACCTGCATACCTGCGCCAACAAAAAGTTTCATGGCTCAGTGTGTTTGACTGACTCGGATCGTCACTATTTAATCTGCCCACCTACAAGGCTCACCTGCCAAACACCTAAGTAGCATCACTGATCGGCGAATAGTTGTTTTAGATTCACTGAAAGTTTATAATCTAAGCAATACGGTTACATCTCTCGTGTGCGACGGGATGTCACAGGGTTTTGACGTAATTTTTGGACCTACATGGAACCGTCCGTGTTAACGCTACTTTAGCTGCTAACGACTGCTAACAGCAGCTGCTGCTAACTAGTCAGCCATGCAGCTAGCCATCCTATTGCTGATTCTGCCCGAAATGGTGCTCTGGGGGTGTGTTGGTGTTTAGACCTCTAACATTAGTACAGAAGCTGGACCGCTGGATCAGAGTCAGCTGATTACCGCAGCTACCGTTAGCAGCAGCAAGTAAAGTAAAGTAATCTGTCCATCAGGAAACTTCATAAATCACAGAGCTGAGGTAGAGCAGAAGATATTTACCTTTCCTTCATAACCGTAAAGGCACTTTCTGTGAGACACACTGAATAACCTCCAGCTGGTACATGTAAATGTTAGCTGTGTAAATATTAATGATCCAAGTTATTATGTCACTCTTTGTGCTTCACCAGTTTTTTGCATGCACAATATTTACATATAAAGAAGAAAAACAATGGCGATTGAGGCTCATGATATGTCACTTCCATGTACTGATCTCTTCTTATTCAACTAGGCCAAGGTAAATAGTTTTACATTCTACGGCCCCTTTAATTTATGAGTATGTGTTTATGAATGGAGGACTGTTTGTACCACAATGAAAATACCCCGTTCACCTACAATTTAGAAATACGTTGTTCATATTGGAGGCAACTGCCTTTATCTTCACAATCATAGACAGCTCTTGTAGTATTGTGTAAATACATACAGACAAGGACTTGTTTGATTCTGTTACAGTCATCATTATTGTACCTAAGCCCTCTCTAGGCGATTGGATGTGCTGTGTCTGTATCTGGATCGACTGTGATTGGTCTGATTTGGCTGTAAGGCTGAAAGAGGAGCTGGAAAGCATAACTGTCAGAAGTATTTCTGTCAAGGGCAGAAATTCTCCTCAAGCTCTAAAACATCCCTACTTCTAATATCCTCATTGTGAATACAGTGTTTCTTTAACCTTTTCTCTTTTCTTTATTTTCTCTCTCTTTTTATTCTCTTTCATTATTTGCCTTCCCTCTGTCGACCTTCAGCTTCCCTCTTCCCTTTCAGTCGTCCCTTTCACTGCACACATCGTCTTTCCCTCCCGTCATGATACTATTTTCTCTTTCCTCTTTCTGCTCCCAGGCTCTCCTCCAGCCAGCGGCACAGGCACACTGCAGATCTATCTGATAGATATTAATGACAACCCCCCAGCGCTTATACCCAGGGAGTCTCAGATATGTGAGCGGATAAACAAGAACGTCCACGGTGTCAACATCACTGCCGCTGACGCAGACACAGACCCCAACGCTGGACCCTTTGTCTTTGAGCTACCCAGCCTTCCTGCGAGCATCCGACGCAACTGGACGATTTCTCGGATCAGTGGTGAGGAGGTGTCAGCGTGGAATAGGGCTTAGTACTTAGTACTTACTTAGAACAACATGTATGTGTACTTTACTGCACATTATACTAAACGTAGTGGGCACTGGACAGTACTTCAATATTATCGTTAGTCAACTTTTAGTGAAATAGTGTTTTGATATTATGAACATTTTTTATTTTTATTTTTTATAAAATGCTGTCATTCAAATTCATGATTTCAAGCAAATTTAATTGAAAACCAATGATAACATCTTGTGACATTGATATATATATTGATGATGAAAAAAATACTGTGATATTGATTTTAACCATTTTGTCTGGCCATTTGTGGAAGCAATTTTTAAGATCTTGGTCAGAAGTAACTCTAAAATTTGATGTTCATTTGTTCCCCAGGTAGAAAATAAGAGTATGTACGTAGAGTTAAATTATTTCAATAAATGTGATGAGTAACATCTAGTAACGTTTCTCTTTCCTCTTCACTCTACTTAGGTGATTACGCTCGTCTAGGGCTGCGGTACCAGATTTACTTAGAGCCGGGGGTGTATGAGGTCCCTATAATTGTGTCGGACTCGGGGAACCCACCATTGTCCAACAGGTCAGTCATCAAAGTGAAGGTGTGTCCATGTGATGAAAACGGAGACTGCACCACTCTCGGGGCCGTGGCAGCTGCTGGCCTGGGAACAGGAGCCATTATCTCCATCCTCATCTGCATCATCATACTGCTCAGTGAGTATCAGATGTTCATATCGCATTCTCCCACTGACACCTCACAATTCTCAGACATGTGACACTCCTACAAATACATACAACACAAGAAGTTAAAGCTGTCTGTAATTGGCTTTTATTTGCCTTTCTGTCAAAAAAGTGCAGTTCAGGGTGCAGTCATTAAACCTTCTCCAGGCTATACTACAACAACAGGAGCAATAGTTTGTATAATGAATTAATGCCTCAACTGCTGGAATCCTCTCCAGCATCTCTTGACAAGGTTTTTTAGTCTTAGTATTTCCTGATTGCCTGTTTTGTTAAGTGATGCAGATTATTGCAGTGTAAACCAATAGGTTTATCGTGTTCGTGTGTGCATCGGTGCAGGTATGGTGCTGTTGTTTGTGGTGTGGATCAAGCGCAGAGAGAAGGAGAGGCAGACCAAGCAGCTGCTTATTGACCCTGAAGACGATGTCAGAGACAACATCCTCAAATATGATGAAGAGGGAGGAGGAGAAGAGGACCAGGTGAGATCCTGAGCCATACACACATGCTTTCTATGTTGACCTCCTCTGCCTACTTACATCTGTATGCCCCTGTGGCTGTGTAGGACTACGACCTGAGCCAACTGCAGCAGCCTGACTCTTTGGAGCACATCATCAGCAAGCCGCCTGGTGTCCGCAGAGTAGATGAACGTCCCATCATCCCTGAGTCCCAGTACCCAATCAGACCTGTCGTGCCGCATCCTGGAGATATCGGGGACTTCATCCACGAGGTGAATTTACACTCACACAACGGACACGCACGTCACATCTAGCATGCAAAGATTAACCTTCAATAGATTGTTCCCCGTCAGTGTTCTGGCCTCTCACTTTAACTTTCCATCGATCTGACATGTAATATGATTACTCCTTTCTGGATGCTGTTCAAAATGTAAACTCCAGTATGGAAATGAAAACAACATAGAGTTTTGTTTTACTTTACAGCTACTCTCACCGTGCCAGCTTTATTCACACACACACAAACACACACACACTGACAAACACACACAACTCCAGCGACTGATGCGAGAAAATGCTGATTGACAGACTCGTGACAACACGTTCACACTCGAGAGGTGTTGGCAGCTGTTCAGCTTTGATCCATCCAGCCTTGACTCTCTCTCTCTCTCTCTCTCTCTCACACACACACACACACACACACACACACACACCTACGTACGTGATCTTGCTCCAGCAGTCTGGTAAAACACAAACACAGCAAACACAAGGTGTTCCTGCCATACACTGCACCCCTGGGGGTTGAGGGTTTTTAGGTTTCTGCCCATAGCATCTCTCTGTATTCGAGTGAAGTGGATGAAGTCCATCCTCTTCACCTTCCTAACCTTCAGGTCAATGGCCCTCATTTGTCATTTTAAGAAACAAGTGCAGGTTTGAGTGCCGGCAGACAACATGCAGACCCCTTCACGTCTTATCCCTGAAACAGGAACAAAATATTGATGAATATGTTTTGATCAGCCATTGATGTGTTAAAAGAAAGGTTTGTGCTGAAAAGTACACACTACATATAGTACAGAATTTATCTTGGCCATTTTTAGAGATCTGTGTGATTGTTTACCATTGCTTTTTGTTTGTGCTTGTGTGTGACTGGCTGTTTGGTTGTGTGTCCTATCTCTGTTCTATTTCTTCTGCTGTACTCAGGTAAATCTTGCAAAAGATATCCTGATCTCAGTGAGACTACCTGATTAAATAAAGGTTATAATAATGTAGATACACTAAGCTTTACCATAGGAACTTGCCCCGGTGATACGTTTACATAATGAACTGTACTATTTATTCAAAATTCACCAAAAGTAGCTTATTGAATATTACATTTCAAAATTCAAACATAGAAACAAAATTACATGCTTTGTTATGCTTTGTCAGTATGAGTGCAATACAACCTGTGATACTATGTATGTTCAATACTTTTCCATATACAATGCCATGTATCCTTTATTTAACTGCATACAGTATTTTCAAGCAGACATGAGACTGAACATAAGGCTACTACAAAGGTAGAATTGATAAATACCAGTGTCAGAAAGTACAATTCCGAGATACTTAAGTATTACCTTTTGTGGTACTTTGTAGACCACTATATTTAGCTAGTTACTGGAAGTAGCAGATTGAGATTTTACATACAAATATAAGCTTATGAAATATTATTATAATTATTAGAGATAAAAGTACTCAGCAGTATACAAAATAAAAATAAAATTAACCTCCACCTTGACCATGCTGAATCAATTACTACAAAAATTACTACCAAATTATAACAAAACCCATGGATTAGAAACTGAGTTTGAAAGACATAGGCGTTTACCAGGAAGGGAGGCTATAAGGAAAATATTAGGGCTGACCCCGAATAGTCCGGAAATTCTATGGTTCGATGGGAGGAGCCTGATTCTTGCTGAAGAGAAACATCAACATATCCGCTGGTGTTGTACCTAGATGTCACATTGCGGGACGTTCGGATCATTGATCACCAGTGATGAAACACAAAGAATATTGTGTCCTAAACAGTAGCCTACTTGAATTAGACCAGCAAGAAACCGCATGTCATGCATGTAAAACTCTGCACAAGACCGGTGAAGTATGGAAAAGGGAACCTCCCACCCCCACCTGCGCCATCGCCGCCGCACAAGCACACATATGATTCGACAATCAGTCGACTAAAGGCAGGACTTGACAATTCTGATTCGACTATCTAAATCCTTATTCGGGGACAGCCCTAGAAAATATGGGTACATGTAGGAACTAGCATTTTTAGAGTTTGCCACAAACTGTTAGGCTTATATCTCAGCCTCTGCTTTAATTCTGAACTTTCTTTTAAATCTGATTCTTGTGAGTGCAATACTAAATTGCTGGTTTTTGACAACTTGTTGCTTTTCCTTCACTAATGAATCTGCCCTTTTATTTTTATCATATTCTCCACTGCAAGCATGTGAGTACTGACCCCTACCTTTCCTCCTCTTTGTCATGTTTAGGGTCTGAGAGCAGCAGACAATGACCCCACAGCTCCTCCATATGACTCCCTGCTGGTGTTTGATTATGAGGGCAGCGGCTCTACTGCCGGCTCTGTCAGCTCCCTCAACTCCTCCAGCACGGGGGACCAGGACTATGACTACCTCAACGACTGGGGCCCCCGCTTCAAGAAGCTGGCCGATATGTACGGGGGAGGGGATGAGGATTAAATCTGCCCAGTCACACATGCACACACACACACCCTCGTCCCGTCAGCTGGCCTGCCATGCTCTGTCCCTCTAACACATGGGGCTATTACACCCTTATTGAACACACGTTAACAATGACATGTTCCCACTGTCCAACTACTGACCAACCAACCAACCAATCAACCCACCACAGAGGACCAGTGCCATGAGTCAGTTTCAGGTGCTCTTCTCAACCGTCTCCTGCTCTAAGCCTGTCTACGACTGAAACGGATATATTACGGACTTATAGTTTGTATTTTCAAACTCTTTTGCTTTTGTTCCATTTCAGGTTTTATGCTAGATGTAGAATTTAGTCAAATTTAGTTTTCCTCTAGTTTCTGTAGCTTTTTTTTTTGTCCCCACTCCCCTTCAATTCGAGCCATTCCCTATTCCTGAGGGGTTTCACTTTTCCCTCGCTGTCAGCCCCTGCCTGCCTCTCTGCAGAAGCTTTAGGTTGAGCTGCTTGCTTTGTCTGAGGGGAACAAAAGGGAAAAAAAGAAGAACACAGATATGAAAGTCCTTCGTGCACGGAGGGCCCTGGTTTATTCTTTCTTGAACTTGAATTACTTAGAACAGAAGCACTGTTGTTTAAAAAGTGCCTTCAGTGGTGCGTATTTTAGCAGGCTCCCGCTAACTCAGGATTGGTTGCCATTTTCTGGGCTTACATGCCCCCATATGACCCCTGACCCTTTAACTCAGACGTTCCCTTATCATTTCTATCGTCCTGCAGGGCTGTGGTAGCTGCAGGAGATGTCAGTGCTGGTTTCAGAGGAGCATTGACTGGCTTACGAGGGCGCTTTATGTAGACGTACTGTACATAGGCCTACAGTGTGTCTGTAAGTTATGGACAAATCATAAACTTTTCAAGTCAGGCATATCTGTGCTCCTAGATCACAGCCAACTTGAATGTGATTACTGAAATTACAAAATACATTATGGGACTGTCTTAGAGAAGAAATGCATTGCGTGTCTTTTTTTATTGTGGCTTCAATAGCAGCTGTGTTTGTTTTGAGCTCTCAGTATTTGCACCTGAAAGGGTTGTTACTACATTTTGAAGATTGACAAGTCATGTGTGTTACCTCTATAATGTTACTGTATATGAAGTACATATGAGGGTTATTTAAGGAGACTTTGTCTTTAAGATCATTTAAGGTTTGCATGTATCCCTTCACTCAAAGGTAATTAACATGGCACCAGTTATTGTGTGGTAAATGTGTCAAAGAAAACCATATAAACTGTACAAACACGAGGGGAAAAAAAACACAGGATTACTTCAAATAGCTCAGATAGTGTTACATACTGAGTTGTGAGCTTGTACAAGTCCCTTTCTCTCTTTATTTTTTTCCTTTTGTTGATTCACTGTTGTTTCTCAGCAAGCAAACTTTTAGTATACAAACTTTGGTGCTGGTCCCTGTCACAGCGACTGGGGGTATTCAGCCTCAACCAGGGATTTAGCGCCTTCACAATCTGTCTCTCTTCAGGCAGCATTTCATTCATCTGAAATTTTCTCCTAAAATTTTTTGGCTGCAAGTTCAAGAGGTTTTGAAAAGAAGTTAGAGGAAGGGAAAGTCTGTTATGAAGTTGTGCATTTTATCAAAGCAGACGTGCAAAACTAAAGCTTCAGTAATAGCGCTTTAAAAGACATTTTGAAAGACAGTTTTGTTGTAAGTTAATGAAAAAGCAGCTCTACCCATGGGCTTTTGTGATCATATTTCGGGGCCCCTGCATGTAGAGAACTGGGGAAGAAAGAGCTTTAGTCTTTGTATTAAATTATTTAAATATGCAAAACATTTCACAGAGGGACCAGGGAGATGCTGGTGAATGATAGAAAGGTTTAATCATTCCTTATCTTCTGAGTACCCATTGAAACACTCCTCGCAGTTTCAACTTGATGTGGACTGACCAGATTTTCTATTAATTATGAATATGATGAATGCTTGGAGGAAATCTCAGAAACGACAGTGTTCTTCAGATAATGTAACGAGAAGGATACTCCAATCCCCTTTTTTCTGCTGCTGCTTTTCAACTGTTTATCACCTGCTCGTGGTTCATATGAATATCTGAAGGTAAAAACAATCTTTAGTTTTCAGAAATGGTAATAAAAACTGTAACTATAGTTTCAGAGTGGACGAAAAATAATTATCTTGTGAAGATATAAATAGAAAATTTTGCCTGTTAGTGCAAATATTCATCATGCCATAACAAAGAAATATGTGTGAGAGTTTTATTTGACTATAAACCAGGAAAGGTCATAGTATAATTAAAAAGGTAAACAGGGTAGGAATCTCTTGATTTACATTAATAGACAAACTGGTGCAAATTGCACCTTGCGGTGTAGAAACTGATAGTTTCAGGATAGCTGTCAGCTTAGAGCGGAAACACAGTAAACATCAGAGAAGGAGTTGTTTCCACAACTTGCTGCTGGATAAGCTCTTTTCTATCCGACTGCTCTTCAGCCTACAGAATATCTTCACAAAATAAACACAGCTGTTACTTTCTGCTATTTGTGATTATTTCTGACATATAAATGTTGTATATTCAGACCATTTTTATACATTTGGTAACATGACTTATCTGTTTCTGTGTGGTCTTTGCATTTTCTTTCACTCCAGTTGTGTTTAAAATGAAATACTTGGCAATGTATATTTCACCACAAAAAGCCATGTGCATTTAAGAGAATCTGTATGATTCAGCTTACAGCCATACTCGTGTCGCTGTCAAGTTTAGCTTCATCATGGTGAAACGGTTCCACTTGTACAGTCTATCCTAGCACACACTCACTCCTCTAGGCCTTATTGTATATATGTGAGTGTTCCATATTATATGAACCCTTTCAGCATTGCTCTAATTCAGCTGTGGAGCTCCAACATTACCGATGGCCATCCTGCAAAATAAACACATGCTTAGTGAAATGCTTGTGCTCGCTAATAAGACGTTCAGACCAGATTCAGGGCCTAACAGGAGACAGGAGGCCACCTCACACACACACACACACAATTTACACAAGGTAACTGACCTTTATAACTGTGTCATACATACATACATGACACAATGCCATTATGATGCTGAATGTTATCTACGACTCGCAATGACACGTGGCAGCAAATCATCAGTGCAGTCGGTCAAAGTTGGCACCCCCATTTAAATGCAATTTGTGAGGGGAAATTAAGAAAGATTGATCATTACTTGTTACATACTTGGTCAACTTGTCTTATTGACGTTCCCTTGCTAAAGTGAGGGGAGTATTAGCAAATGATAGAATGAAGGAAGAACTATTACACTGCTGTAGTCGAACCATGTCTTCTGGCTGTGTCAACAACAGCTATTCTGCCTCTCTGACTGGTGTTAGTTAAAGGACACTTAGTCTCACACGGGACACTGCCTGAAGATGGACACACACATGACGGGAGGCTCCAGCTGAAGCCAGACTTTTGCTCTGCTATGGCCAGAACTACAAAGACATGCCGCAGTGTTTCAAACAAGTTCTCCCAATACTGCTCAAGTCCAAGTGTACATAATGTAGTATTTGCTTTCAGCTAAACAGACCAAGTTAGGCAAAATGTAACTGTACAATTGGAGCTTTTTGCATGTGTCTTTTTATAATGGACAGATGAGTTCTATTACAGTAACCATACAACATTTTAAAATGTGTCGCAGCCCGCATGACCGAGGTTGCAGTTCAGAAGGGATTCTGGTGTACCATACTCACGTAGTTTCAAACGGAGGAGAAAAAAAGCTGAAAAAATAATTGCACAGTTATCAAGTCAAAAGACTTTTTTGTAAATTGTCAACAGCACAAATATTTTGTATTGTTGTTTGTACCATTTTATAAGAAAATTAAGAAAAAAAAAAAAAGGGAAAGAATCTGTTGTTTCAAGCGTGTGTTTATAGTGCCACTGCAATCTTGGTTTCCAAATACCGTACAGTAAATGCGCAGCCTTGCAGATCAACCTTGTAATATAGACGCTGAGCTGGAGACTCCCTGTCAGCACCATGTGTTATAAATAAAATTTCCCCTCCTTATAAGACAGCCTCCTGTCATTTCTTTGTCACAGGCTGATTTCTACAGGTGATGCATTTCCTCAAACACGTGTAATTTTGTAAAAAGTGCTAATGTAGTTTTGACCAGAAATTGTTAAATTAACTGTCTGTCGCCCAGGTAGCTTTGCACAGTGTTAACTTTAAATTTAATTTAGTTTGGTAAGGCATCACCCATTAACTAGTCATGATACATTATAACAAGGACAAAAATAATTATTACTGTCCTCATACAGAAGTCCTCAAACATGTTCAGTGTGTCAGCTGTGCCTCTTCCGATTCAGAAGAGGAGATGAAGGTAAGTGTTACTCTATATACTACAGTATATAGGGCAACACTTACCTTCATAAAGTGAACGTACACAGCATCTTAACTGGATTATATTGTAAAACAGGGTCTGAGGACCGGTTCAAATCCCTTTCTGTGTAGAGTTTGCATGTTCTCCCCATGTCTGCGTGTGTTCTCTCCGGTGCTCCAGCTTCCTTCCACCATCCAAAGACATGCAGGCTAGGTTAATTGGTGACCCTAAATTGTCCTTAGGTGTGAGTGTGAGCGTGAATGGTTGTTTGTCTATGTGTTGCCCTGCGATGGACTGGCGACCTGTCCAGGGTGTACCCCGCCTTGCGCCCGATGTCAGCTGGGATTGGCTCCAGCCCCCCCGCGACCCTGTACGCAGGATAAGCAGTTGACAATGGATGGATGGATGGTCTGAGGACCAGGCTGTCTCTTCTCACGAGAAAGAGATGATAAAATTACATGAATTTCCAGTATAATATCAAAGACACTGCCTTTTTTCAAGTTTGTATTTGGGTCAACGACATATACATTTTTTTTTATTAGAACAATGTGTATAAACAAGTTTTATTTGTTAAATAACATTTGAAAGTGTTTAAATACAATTTCTTTACATTTTTTTAACTAAGCCCAAAAAATGTCAGGTGGCGCAACCAAATATTTGTAGCAATATATATATTTTCCTACTATTCATTCTAAGTTATAGCTTTGGCAAGTATTCCCTAGAGTGTCTATAGGCTTAACAAATTATTATTTTGTGCTTGTGCTTTTGTATTTACAATTATTGCATTCTAAAGGCCAATTATTTAGTATCTTTAGCATCCAATTTTACATTTATTGATGGAAAAATAATAATACAAATTAATGTTTTCAATACAGTATCCATGATCATCATTGTTTTAAACCATATGTTCGCTTTAACCTATTAGTTATTAGTTAGTTTAAATCAATATTTTAGCTGGTTGCACCACCTGACAACATATTAGTAATGACAGCGAATATACTGAAAAATTGTAATTTTCTTTCAAATACAAAAAAGGTGTTTTGGTCAACAGTCTCTACTGAAGTAATGAACTGATTAAAAACATGATATCAAATTCAGTTAAAACAACTAGGCTACAGTGCAGTGGATACACTGTATCAAGTTGTAATTGAACAACAATGTTTTTAATGTTCCTCTCCCTGTGCTTTCACTGGTTTTGGTTCCACTGTTCCACTGCCTCACTTTTTGCTGTTCTGTTCTGGACCGCTGGCTAATTGGGAATTTCACAGTTTTCCCTCTATCTTCCTCCTCAGACATCTATAAATAGGGATGTTGGATCACTTTTTTTGCCCCTGATCTGGGTCATTTAATATTATAATCTGCCAATTCTGAGTCCCGATCCGATACTTGTATTTTACTAGATAATACAGTTGCACAGTGTACACTTCAGGATGGCTATGTTTAATTAAATTTCTCTATCCTTTAAAGTTTCCTCGTGCGTTGCTTCGGGGCAGCTTTGGATTGAGTTACCTGAGTGAACTCACTGTATTCTGTTTAGTGTTCATTTTTTTTAGGTGCCTTATTAAATTGGTAGTATTGAACGCAGCTCTTCTGAAGCTAGTAAACACAACTTATTCTCATGAAAGAGAGTGTAAAACATTCTTAATTAAAAACAATTTTTAAATTTTAATTATCAATCCAAACATTTTTGCAACTTTCCTTGCAGTTGCGCCACCTGGCATACTGGTTGCACCACCTGACTTTACAACTTATTTCCAATGAAACAGGCTTATAGTATGAAACTTGTATTAACTTTTTCTTTTGATAGCAAGTTCATATATATTGTTTTGATTAAATAAAGAGTTTTATGATAAATTAATAATTTTCATTGGTTGTACCACCTGACATGGAAAGTGAACCAGTCTGACTATAAGTTAAACAAACCTTAAGGTAAGGTTACTTGGGGTCCTGGATGATGCAATAACCTGTTACTGTTAATACATTTTCATTTCGGAAATGTCACAGTATTTTATTTTGAATTGAAGATGCTTAAAACACAATTTAAAATCTTTTCTTAATCTGTTTATTTGCACGGACGGTTGCACCACCTGACATTTTGGGAGTTTTAGGTGCCAGAACATAAAATATATATCATTATAATGTTGTGAAAATGTATTCACACAAAATGGGTTTTGTAGATAAAGTGATATATGTCGTGAATTGATTAAAATTACTTTAACAGAAAAGACACAAAAATATGCATGTCATGTCATTGACCCATTTTCACAGTAACCTACAAAGTAAAACACCATTTACAGGAGAAATAACTACATATATGCACTTAGACAGACTGCATGTTATTGTGGCAGTGTACAAATTGAGCTTATTGAGAATACAGCTTGTTCCTCACATACAAATGGCCTTTCTAGTTCTGCATAAAAAGACACAATAATGCATTCAAGGAAACATTTCCACAATGTTAAAATCAAAAGATTTTGAAATGATGATGCGCATCTGTTGGCACTAGTTAAATATGAGGATGGTCGAGTTTCATATTCCAAATTAGTTTTAGTAGTCAGCCATGAACAAACATAAGCTAAAATGATCAACACAATTAAGGCTGTTCATTTGTCAACTGTGCCTGACGGTGCCATCTTTCAAGCTGGATGATGAAGTCTTTCCCAGATGAAGCAGATGAAATGCAGTGACAGAACAGCTTAGAATGAAAATACAAAAATGTTCATTTAATTTCCTTTATTCCATTTTTTCCACTTTATTTTTTTTTACTTTGTGCACCAAATGTTGTGGACAAATGGACATCTACATGTAAAAAAAAAATACAGAATAGAAAATATTATGGGTGTGACGAGATCTCACACCACGAGATCTCGCAAGATTAAATTGTGATGAGAATTCTCGTCAGGTAAAATACTGTCTCACGAGACGCAAACTACATTTTTCACACACTGTCAAGCCACACATTAATTTTCTCATGTAGTGAAATACAAATGTATAACTGATAAGATAGACTCACTCATCATGTCAGAGGACACAGATAGGCCCATGTGGGAGAGATTCTGAATGTGCAGAAAGTTTTGACCATGAGCAGAAGATTTGCTAAAACACAGGAGCCATTAAAGTCCAGGAGTTTATAACTGAATTAAAATTAAATAATTTATCATTATGGTGAAAAGGTGCCACAGTCACATTTAAAGAGGTTACTTCCTCAAGCAAAGACACAAAGAGGAGGGAAGACTAAATCATGAATCAGCAGGGATGATATTAAATAAGTTGATCTACAGGAGAAACAGATCTGATAGCAGCACAGAATGACTTAGAGCTGCACTGACTAAGATTCTGTTATAATTAGGCTATAGATTCTGAATTTTCACCTGCCACCAATTTTCATATAATTCAGCATTAAAGATTTCTTAAAAATAATGTTAAATGAACCATGAACCCAATCTCAAATCTCGTCTTGTCTCGTGGGTTAAGTGTCTCGTCACACCCCTAGAAACTATACAGCATCATAAGACCATACACAATTACAAAGTGATGTTCCCAAGAAATAAAAAAATGTGTTTTTAAGAGGTTTCATAAATGCATCATTGTACTTGAGTTGCTAGGAAACAGCAAACACTGCAAACTGAAAAATATATTTGGGTACATTTAGAAAGCTTATGTCTGAAACTGTGAAATAGACACACATACTAGACACACAGGAGTCACATAATTAATATATTATATGAGTTATTTTCATCAAATAAATAAATGCTTAATATCCATTTCCTTAGAGCACACACAGAGTTAAATTGTTTTGTTATTACAATTCTTGTAAACAGTAAGAATTTCATTTGTGTAGGAGTACCCAACTCTTCGTATGTCAGAACATCCTTGAATGCACCAGCAAGAAGTTTTCAAAACAGTTCCTACCAGGCGATAATAATGTAATATTGGCGACCAAAAAAATATTAAATAGATAAAGGCAACATGTTTTTCAATGTGACACTACATGATTTTGTAGTTTAAGGGTTAAACCCCCTAGTATTGTCCTTCAACTATATAATAGCACTGAACGTTTAAGTGAATTATAACACACTGCTTGTCAACAGTAAACCTTATTTATTTACATTTCAGCTCAGTTGTAAATCTTAATTCAGCGATGGCCACTATAAAAACAGAGGAAACCTGAATGTAAAAACAGAAATCAGTTAGCAATCAGAGCAAGGAGTCAAGGCTGCATGAGGATCAGGATGAGATGACCCTTACTTGCTCTCTTGTAGCACAGCAGGTCAATGAACAGCAAACTGCATCTCCTCCTCATTGATTGACCTGTCAGAGCACGTCAATGCACCCACAGACAGAATAAGCCCTTCCATTACACACAAGCACACATGAACACACAAATCTCTTTCCTCGAACTACAGGAAAACTGAGGGTAAAGTGAAACCTGCTCCTGCCCTCCCACCAGCCAGACTCCAGGGTTGATAGAATAAGTCAAGATGGATTAATTCAGGTAGCAGTCACATGATTATTGGAATTGCCACATGCTGAATTTTGTACATGCGGGTGGTTGTGATAATGATCGGCACTGCAATTTACTTTACCAACTTTACTGTCTGAGTTTTGCAGGTCACCACTTTCCCTGCACACTATCTGGAAAAGAAGTAACTTGTTAATAATGTCAGACATGAGACATTTGGGGAAATGT